AGAAGCGGCTTAGTCATGCTGGCCACATGACCCGGAAGCTGTACGCCGGCTCCCTCGGCCAATAAAGCGAGATGAGCGCCACAACCCCAGAGTCGGCCACGACTGGACCTAATGGTCAGGGGTCCCTTTAGAATCATAGAATCATAGAGTTGGAAGAGACCACAAGGGCCATCGAGTCCAACCCCCTGCCAAGCAGGAAACACCATCAGAGCACTCCTGACATATGGTTGTCAAGCCTCTGCTTAAAGACCTCCAAAGAAGGAGACTCCACCACACTCCTTGGCAGCAAATTCCACTGTCGAACAGCTCTTACTGTCAGGAAGTTCTTCCTAATGTTTAGGTGGAATCTTCTTTCTTGTAGTTTGGATCCATTGCTCCGTGTCCGCTTCTCTGGAGCAGCAGAAAACAACCTTTCTCCCTCCTCTATGTGACATCCTTTTATATATTTGAACATGGCAATCATATCACCCCTTAACCTCCTGTTCTCCAGGCTAAACATGCCCAGCTCCCTTAGCTGTTCCTCATAAGGCATCGTTTCCAGGCCTTTGACCATTTTGGTTGCTCTCCTCTGGACACGTTCCAGTTTGTCAGTGTCCTTCTTGAACTGTGGTGCCCAGAACTGGACACAGTACTCCAGGTGAGGTCTGACCAGAGCAGAATACAGTGGCACTATTACTTCCCTTGATCTAGATGCTATACTCCTATTGATGCAGCCCAGCATTGCATTGGCCTTTTAGCTGCCGCGTCACACTGTTGGCTCATGTCAAGTTTGTGGTCAACCAAGACTCCTAGATCCTTTTCACATGTACTGCTCTCAAGCCAGGTGTCACCCATCTTGTATTTGTGCCTCTCAATTTTTTGCCCAAGTGCAATACTCTTACATTTCTCCCTGTTAAAGTTCATCTTGTTTGTTTTGGCCCAGTTCTCTAATCTGTCAAGGTCGTTTTGAAGTGTGATCCTGTCCTCTGGGGTGTTAGCCACCCCTCCCAGTTTGGTGTCGTCTGCAAAATTGATCAGGATGCCCTTGAGTCCACCTTAAGATCATTGGAAGGGCTTGCTGAATTAGCCCAAAGGTCCACCTGGTCCAATATCCTGTGAGAAGCACACAAGCAGGACTTAAGTGCAAAACTGCTTTGCTCCTGTGGTTCCCAGCAACTGGGATTCAGAAACGCACTGCTTCCAACCAGCTGAATCCATAATACTAAGCAAGTTTTTTAAAAATGGACTGTGCAGAGAGATTGGGCCAGCATCAGCCAGTGACATAGGGTGGAAAGTGGTAAATGGCTGGAGCCACGGAGATGGCTATGGTCTTTGTTTTGGGAAACACAAAAAGGGAGCGCAATGATGCACTCAGATAATCCTCAGGGGCTTCCTAGAGACTGACCGTGGTGAGAACAGAATGATGGACTAAATGGGTCTTTGACCTGATCCTGAAGGGCTGTTCTTCAGGGTAACCTTAAAACCAGTTAAAACACACCATAAGCAACACAGAAGAATAAAACAATGGGCTCCGATTTCCAGTTTCCAAAGGCTCAGGTGAATCAACATGTTTTTAACTGTCATGTCCTGTTTATGGACTTCCCATAGGCATCTGGTCGGCCATTGTATGAACAGAATGCCATACTTGCCAAGTGTCCTGGAAAAAAACAGAACGGCCTGTTTTTTTTCATGTGAGATTGCAGTGGCCATTTTGGGCACCACAATCTCATGGTCTCACCCCACCCCCAATCACTTGGGGTGGGGGTGAGATCATGGCATGGGTCATGTGACTCACCTGGGAGTGTATCCAGGAAGACATGTGTCCTGGTTTTTTATCTGAAAAAGTTGGATGGTATGGCCTCAGTCCAGTATACCTGAAGGAGCGTTTCCATCCCCATCGTTCTGCCCGGACACTGAGGTCCAGCGCCGATGGCCTTCTGGCGGTTCCCTCGCTGTGAGAAGCCAAGTTACAGGGAACCAGGCAGAGGGCCTTCTCGGTAGTGGCGCCCGCCCTGTGGAACACCCTCCCACCAGATGTCAAAGAGAACAACTACTACCAGACTTTTAGAAGACATCTGAAGGCAACCCTCTTTAGGGAAGCTTTTAATGTTTAACAGGCTACTGTATTTTAATACTTGGTTGGAGGCTGCCCAGAGTGGCTGGGGAAACCCAACCAGATGGGCGGGGTATAAATAATAAATTATAATATTATTATTATGCCAATTATGTTATTATTATTATGCTAATCAGACTTTAGCCAGCGTGGTGTAGTGGTTCAGAGCAGTGAAATCGTAATCTGGTGAACCGGGTTCAATTCCCTGCTCCTCCACATGCAGCTGCTGGGTGACCTTGGGCTAGTCACACTTCTCTGAAGTCACTCAGCCCCACTCACCTCACAGAGTGTTTGTTGTGGGGGAGGAAGGGAAAGGAGATTGTTAGCCGCTTTGAGACTCCTTAGGGTAGTGATAAAGCGGGATATCAAATCCAAACTCTTCTTCTTCTTCTTTGGCCTGATCCAGCAGATTCTTCTTGCGTTGAGAGCGTTTGACACATCCCTTATAGCTGCAGTTCTGCCCTACATACAGGTCACTGCTGCCTCTCCTCTTCCTCCTTTTATGTTAAATCTGCCCTTGCTCAGTTGGTTAGAGTGTGGTGCTCATAATAACAGCAAGGTTGCAGGTTTGTTCCCCGTAGCGGACAACTGCATATTCCTGCATTGCAGGGGGCTGGACTAGATGATTTGCAGGGTCCCTTTCCAACTCTAGAATTCTATGATTCTCTAGCCACTGCTAGTTCCTGCTCTCATGAGATGGGCAGGCAAGCTGCGTCCTCAGGCACCAAAGCCAGCTGTTGGAACAGACTGGCAAGCCTCCCACTTCCCTTCCAAAACGCTGTCTTCAAGATTGACTCTATTATCTTGATGGCTCCATGACATGCCTCAGGGTTGTACAGGCCAAGGGGCAAACAAATCAATATCGCTCGCCCCTTATTGCTCCTCCGTTGCTGTGCTGCTTGGGGCATACCCATAACCTCGAAAACCGCCTGGTGGCCAGAAAGGGGGGAGAAGGGGAGGGGAAAGGAGAAGCAAAAGGGTTATCTGCTCTTCGTGCTGGAAGCTGGGCAATAACGTTCCATGCAGTCAAATGAAAATATGACTTTTTGGCAGGGAATGGGCATTATAATGTAAAACCCCATATGCCGTTATACAGTATGCTGCAATCTGTTTTACTGCCGCCTCTATTCTAACGAGTGAATACTGCCAATAAAGCAATTGAAGATAACACTAATTGCTTATTTCTGTGATCCATAATTTTTATGGTCTCCTTATAGCTCTTCAGTCAAATAGTTGTGGGCATTGTTTTTTTGGCTCTCTCTCTTTTTCCTTTGCCTTTTTAAGACCTAGAACTTGGCTGTTTTGCAACGCTGGTGGCTCACAATCTGCCCTGAGTTGAAGAGGTTGCCTCTTGTTTGGTTAAAGGCTGCAGCTCAGCAGCTGAGTCATCTGCCTTGTGTCTAGAGAGCTCCGGGTTCAATCCCCGATATATTTATATGCCACAATGAACTGTGCTCAATCTCACAGTGTAAGTTTTCCATGGTCTTGAGTCCACTTGGTCAGCTACAGGACTGGTTCCAGATTTCATGCACTCACGCCCACACACCCCAGACACCATGTTCCTGCACCATCGCGAGTGTCCACAGGATTTTATTTTTTAGAGGGGGGGGGGATGAAAGAAAGTAAAACACCAAAAGGCTAGCTTCTCACAAAACTGCAAGAAGAATAGCGGCTGCACATTTTGCCTCAGGTTCTACAAATGCTAGAGCAACAGCAGCCGATACGTTCTTCGCTTCCGACAATATTTTATTCTCTTGCTAATTATGCTGCTTTAAATGTGCATTTTACATTTGACTTCCTTTAGTAATGTTTCCTTTTGAAACGTTTCTGATAATTCCTTCCGTTAGCTTTGCTGCATGGAATGCGCCTTCCGCAGTCGACCTCCTTTGCGATGTTCTATTTTGAAATCTTTAAAATAATATTTTAGTTCCCTGTCAATTGCGTTGCTTTGAATGTATATGCCAGATTTTGCTTTCTTCAGTAATGCTATATTCCGGATGGTTTTATTTGATGTTTTAATGTGTTGTTAACTGCTTCGAGATCTTTCTCCTTAAACATAAAAAGAGGTATAGTAATGCAATGAATAGTAAAAATATTAGTAATAGAAACTGAACCATTTTTTTTTAAAAAAAATGAAACCTGAGAATCTGGGGGTGATGGTGCACTTGGGGAGGGGGCTGCACACTTTTACTCTCCTGGGGGGGGGGAGGGCATGCAGACAAGGCTGTTCATCACCTCCAGATGAATATTGGGACTAATCTACACTGGTGAGTTATAACGTTAAAAGTGCGTTATAAAAATGTGACACCAGAGGGCGCTGTAGAGCAGCAATCTTTTGCCAATGGGAATTTGCATTGGGAGCAATTTTTTTTTATACAGCGCTTTCTTAAAACAGCACTTTCCAGGTCATTGTAGATCCAACCCTGGATTGTGCACCGTTTCAGGCTGATTCAGGTTAACCCTGGATTTGGTTCTTGCAGATATTACTATTACAGGATGTTTTTCCCCTCAGTGGAACAATCCTTGTTTCCTTTGAATTTTGAAGCTGTGAGTCTAAATTAATTCCATGAAAACATGTTCATTTAGGATTTACGTTCTGTATAGTTTCCTAAGGAGTCATACTAAGCAGCCAGTGTGGTGTAGTGGCTAAGAGCGGTGGACTCGTAATCTGGTGAACCGGGTTCACTTCCCCGCTCCTCCACATGCAGCTGCTGGGTGACCTTGGGCTAGTCACACTTCTCTGAAGTCTCTCAAGCCTCACTCACCTTACAGAGCGTTTGTTGTGAGGGAGGAAGGGAAAGGAGAATGTTAGCTGCTTTGAGACTCCTTCGGGTAGTGATAAAGCGGGATATCAAATCCAAACTCCTCCTCCTCCTCCTCCTCCTCCTCCTCTTCTTCTTCTTCTTCTTCTTCTGGACAGCTCAGTCAGTACAGCATGAGACTCCTAATCTCAAGGTTGTGGGTTCCAGCCTCACATTGGAGAAAAAGATTCCTGCATTATTATTCTTTGGCGATCACTCATAGCCAAGTAAGATTGTCTTCCATAAACACAATTTTAACAGTGAGTCCATAAGTGACTGTGGAGGCCAATTCTGGATCCACAAGTCCTTCCACAGTGGGGACATAGGTTTCTGGGCAGCAGTTGATCACGGTGTGGATTTGCCAAGCGTTCCTTCCTCTTAGCACGTTTCTCCCATGCGTCCTGAAGGGGGTTGGACTAGATGACCCTCCTGGTCCCTTCCAACTTTACAATTCTATGAATCAGATGGAGTCTTGCAGCGGTCCCATCAATTTTTTTCCTTAGGACCCCCCTCCCCAACCCACCATATATTGTCAGTTGCAATGCAATGTTTTCCTTCCACGTATCGGAAACACTCCCAAGCAACTCCTATGGCTGGGAGAGAACGTTACATCGGTAAGTCTAAGGTTTCCTTTGTTTTACGCTAGATTTTATCTGTATTTTTATTATTATTGTGAAGAAGGGGTTAGGGTTAGATCACCGCTTTGCAAATTGTTACCTTTTCAAGGTTACTTAGGCAATTGCCGTTTTAATATGGGGGAAAGTTTCCTGACCGCTTCTTCCAAAGAGCAAGAGCAAGTGACAGGCAGATAGAGATCTAATGTGGCATTATATTACGAAAACATAAAACCGCACATTTCGAAAGCGAAGAAAGGCCAAAGCACAGATGGTTAAATCCAAGCAAATGATCAGAGAGAGAGAGATGGAATAAGAGAGAGGGGGAGAGATTGCGTTGCAGTTATTGCTCTGCCGTATCAGCTTTTGTAGGTCTGCATCTGAATTTGAAATTCAAATAAGGCTTCTTTAGATACACATAAGACAAGACTTCTTCTTTCTTTTAATGAACAAGAGTATTGAGAACAGGACATACAAGCTGAATGAGAAAGTCTGAACTCTTCGTTTGATTGCTGTGCAAATGATCTTCAGAGAAAATCGAAAAGAGAGCATCTTCCCACAGTTTGCTCTAGAAGAGACTTAGGAAAGGGTGTCCCAACGCTGAATTTATAAGTCTGTACAATAAGCATCAGGGTAAGGGTGGTGCTGTGGGTTAAACCACAGAGCCTAGGACTTGCCGATCAGAAGGTCGGCGGTTTGAATCACTGCGACGGGATGAGCTCCCATTGCTTGGTCCCTGCTCCTGCCAACCTAGCAGTTTGAAAGCACATCAAAGTGTAAGTAGATAAATAGTTACCGCTCTGGCAGGAAGGTAAACGGTGTTTCCGTGCGCTGCTCTGGTTTGCCAGAAGCGGCTTAGTCATGCTGGCCACATGACCCAGAAGCTGTATGCCGGCTCCCTCAGCCAATAAAGCAAGATGAGCACCGCAATCCCAGAGTCGGCCACGACTGGACCTAATGGTCAGGGGTCCCTTTGCCTTTTACAATAAGCATCAGGGTAAGGGGGTGTGTGGAGATTCCCTGTGGGGGTTCAATATGGAGGCTTACACCAACTTTGCAACTGGTCAGACTTTATTCAGTAACGCATTACAGAGCGGTGTTCAAATAGTCTGTGAGAGCTTCCATTAGATCTCAAGCTATATAGGAAAAATATGACCTCTTGGCTGTTTCATCCTCTTCCCAACCACCTTCTGCCACCCCACCATACAATCACAGTCCTTGAAAACAGTCACTCAACCCATTTATTTCTTTTTTACTGTACGTGTAGAGTCCTCCTTGCACCTTATCTGCACTATAGCAGTCAGTGTTGTGTCCTTCCTAAACTGATCTTACCAGTTTTGTGATCAGGCTGGACTCTTGTGTATGTGAGACTGGCCTGGCTGAGAATGGTTTTCACAGAATTCCTACCTCTGGCAGAGCAGGAGTAGCCAAGGCGATGCCATTCAGATGTTGTCAAATTCCCCTCTCCCGTGGGCCAATGATCAGGAAAGATGGAAGCTGCAGATGATGGAAGTGAGCCACGTTGTCTGTGCTGATCTTCTAAGTGTTTTCTTCCGCTGAGCCACCAAAGGAAGAGGGGATCCAGTAGAGAGGTGCTTATGGCTTCCATAGGATCCTCAAATTTGTTTTGGGGGGAACAGCTTGCTAACTTATCAGCTGTACTACTTACGGATGAAGGTCATCGCCGCCAAATCTTCTCCTAGGGGCAGCAGACAGTCGATGATACTTGGGGAAAAGGGTTTCAGTTTGGATGTCATGGAACACAAGAACACCAAAAGAGCTCTGCTGGGTGAGGTCAAAGGCCTGTTGAGTCCAGCACCCTGTTCTCACAGTGGCCAGAAAGATGCTTCTCAAAATCCTCTGGCAGCAGAGGTAGAGCATAGCTTTGTGGATTTGTCAAAAGCTGCACTCCTTATCCCATTTACCAGGCAGTAAGCCCCATTCCTTTCCATCTGCAGTTGTCCAGGGCTGTCAAATGGGGTGGGGTGGAGTCAGATGAGCAATGAGAGGTAGAAGAAGACAGTCTGTCAGTGTTCCTTGTTCCTCACTCCTGACCATGTGCTTAGTTAGGTTTTAATGTTGTTGTTAAACACAGAACAAGGTCTGATAGAGCAACATAGGCCCCAAATTATTATTATTATTATTATTATTATTATTATTATTATTATTATTATTAATTTATTTATACCCCGCCCATCTGGCTGGGTTTCCCCAGCCACTCTGGGAGGCTTCCAACTGAATATTAAAAACACGATAAAACATCAAACAGTAAAAACTTCCCTAAACAGGGCTGCCTTCAGATGTCTTCTAAAAGTCCAATAGTTGTTTATTTCCTTGACATCTGATGGGAGGGTGTTCCACAGGGCGGGCACCACTACCGAGAAGGCCCTCTGCCTGGATATTTGTAACCTCACTTCTCGCAGGGAGGGAACCGCCAGAAGGCTCTCAGAGCTGGACCTCAGTGTCCGGGCTGAATTATTGGGATGGAGACGCTCCTTTAGGTATACTGGACCGAGGCCATTTAGGGCTTTAAAGGTCAGCACCAACACTTTGAATTGAGCTCGGAAATGTATTGGGAGCCTATGTAGGTCTTTCAATGTATGAAAGATGCCCTCCTTCCCTACATATGGTGATGGATCTGAGGAAGAGACTGACACTTTTTACCAGGATTTCTCCTCCTGATGTTCTTGCAGCAACAGTAAATAGATGGATTGTCAGCTTCTATTTACCACTGCTGATTTGCCAAGTTTGTGGAAGGGTTCCTATTTTACTTCCATCTACACTGATGTCAGTGGGGCATTTGCCCAGTTTTCATTTCCAAAGCCATTTAGGGCTTTAGGCAACACTTTGGATTCTGGGAGGTTAAGTTTAGAAGCTGTCAGGGAACTGCCATCAGTGCCGGAGGGAGAGAGCAAAAGCCAGAGGGATTCCAGAGAGCGTCCAGGGATCGGGAGAAGCAGCCCATCTTCTGGGGAAGAGAATCAGCGTAGCACCAGTGGAGAAGGGGGGCAGATGGGGGAAGCGGCGAGGTGGTCCCATGACTCCTTGCCTGGGACTAGCGGGGAGAGTAGAGGTCCTCCGCTGCCCACGCCCTCCTTGCGCAGAAGGCTTTCGCACAGAGAGAGTAGGAGGAGACTAGGCGTCAAAGAACTTCTTTGCTGGAAGAAGTTTAAGAAACGCCCACTGACGGATTCTGCCAGCGATTGATTCAGCCACGGGTGAGTGGCTGTCCGGACAGAAAAGGTTCACTTAGGCAACCCAGCCAGGTGTTTGCACCCAGCCGGGGAGATAAGCACCGGCTTACGCACGAGCAACCCCTAGAACCATTACAGAAGCCAAACTCCAAAGACGAATCACAAAAGGGGTGTTCACTTTTCTCATTTGAAACACGTACAATCTGTCTACCTATACAGCCGTACCTTGGTTTTTGAACGTCTTAGTTCTTGAACGTTTTGGCTCCTGAACACCGCAAACCCAGAAGTGCGTGTTCCGGTTTGTGAACTATTTTTGGAAGCCGAACGTCCTGCAGACAAGCAGAAGCCACGCTTTGGTTTCCAAATGTTTTGGAAGTCGAATGGACTTCTGGAATGGATACCGTTCACTTCTGAGGTACGACTATATACAAAAACAGTTGAGCTGGACCCATATGCAGCAATTCACACATAATATTTAATGAATGGTCCGTGAACAATGGTTGAGCTGTACAAATGAACCAGGGTACACCCTTTCACACCAACACTTGCCCTTGGGTAAAGGCAAGCTGTACCTGCGTTCAGGGTAATGTGCGGACAACCTTAATATCACCCCTCTGTTGCTTTCCTACTTTTCAGTGGAGCTGCAGTTGAATATGCAACAAAACTATGGATGGATGGATGTTTTTTGGAAATTTCCTGCAGCTCCGCTTGGCTCCTTGAACCTTGTTTTGCAGAGCAGAACAAAACAGATCACCCCCAAATGTAACCTTTTGTTTTAAAAAAGGAGAGCCTTAATGGTGTTTGAATTTGTGTCTCCAGAGAATACTTGGAGCAGTGTGAAAACCCTTTTCTAATCTGTTGATGGCAGGCGAAAAGCAACTCCAAAATGTAATTTAGGGATGACCTCTCCAGCGGCTGCACGTACAGAAATCAGCCTGGTGTAGTTTTCGTCCCCCCCTTTTTTTTTCCTGGCGGAAACGCCGGTGCGCTTGACTTTACTGAACGGAGAGCATTGTTTGGCATCTAGCAGTGATAGCCCGTGTCCTTGTCAGAACACCTGCTGTATCCTCGCAGCAAACAGTGGGGCTGAGGCGTCTCTTCTCTAATGACACCTCATCAATCCGCTCCTATCAACGTCCCAGCCACGGGGGCGACTCGGAGGGCTCCGAAGCTATAGAAAATGTCACCGTTTTGGGAGAAAAGGTCAGCCACCGCTTCCCTCCCACACCTCCCCTGCCAAGCCACAGTGGGCCCGCCGTTCATTATCCTAATTAAACCCAGCAGCTGAACATCTTCTTATCTGTAGGGGAGGAGAGCAGGGGCATGATGCAATAGGATTGATTTGCATATCCAAAGTTAATTAGTGCGGAGGAGC